TACCTGGCCTGTCATGAGGAACAAGTGAAACGCACTGTAAAATGCATTATGGGTGGATCAGTCGGTTAAGTGTCCAACTCTTGGTTTTGGCTCAGGTTGTGATCTCAAGGTTGTGAGATCAAGCCCTGTGTTGAGATTAAAATAAAATGCATTATGAAGACATAAGTTAGAATATATCAGAATTAGCTTCCAATGAGCAGAAATAATATTTTCAGTCTTCCTGTACCTTCAGTGCAAGGTATGTAATGAATACTTATTTGAATGGAAGATAAATATGGTAAGTAAAATTCTGGATTTGTTCATGTGTCAAAAGATTTCTTGACTGCTACTTTCAGTACGTGATTCTATGGGTTTATACTCTAGCAAAAACAAGACTGCATATGATTAGAGGAATTGGTTTCTTTGTTCTGATACAATAAATGCTCTGCTGAGGAAGGAACAGGCAGAGTCAGGGATGACCTGAAAGCAGAGCACTCCTATAAAACCTTTCATAATTCAGCATAAAGTGAAGAATATCTTTCCAAAAGTTCATGTTATGCCACTTTGCTTTTTACAAAAGACATTTAGTACAGTAACGGCTTTTTTTTTTTCTTTGTAAACTTGAAAATCCTCTCCGGACTTCTTTTGGTTATTGAAATCAGGTACTAAATAGTTTGGTACCTTAAAAGCAAAGAGACTTAGCGCAAACTTTTAGAAAGCAGGGAATACTTGAATTTAGTTAAGGCAGCCACATTTCCTTAACTCTTGAGATAGTTAATTGGCTTGCTTTTTTTTTTTTAACATAATAGCTGAGGTCAGAGTGAAGTGTCCCCAACCCCTACCCAAGACTGTACTGTTCATTCTGCTCAGAATTGCTCTCCGCCATCCACCCATTTACTTTCTTAGACTCCGCTTATCCCTTATCAACTCTGTGAAGCCTTTTTAAGCTATTTTCATTCAACATAAAAGTGATTGTTTTCTCATGCATGTCCCTACTTGTAGCTTGTACAGACTTCTGGGTGCCTGGGTGGCTCAGTTTAGTGTCTTCCTTCGGCTCAGGAAATGATCTCAGGGTCCAGGGATCAAGCCCTGCATCAGGCTCCATGCTCAGCAGGGGGTCTGTCTCTCCCTGGTGCACGCGCACTCTCTCCAAATAAATCTTAAAAAAAAAAGACACTTATACAGACTTTTGCCACCATGGTACTTGATTGCATTAATTTTTCAAGTTCCCTGTTAGCCCCAGCTCTTCCCCTTCCCCATCTGAAATCTTTGAGGACAGAGAATAGATCTTACATATCTTCATGTCCCAAGTGTCTAGCCTGTGGTAATGAATGAATCATAATTTCATCGAATTTGTTATAATTACTAGACTTTTATTTCATATAAAGAAATGCTTGGCTATTTGGAACATAGCATAAAGAATAAAAGTAGATAGAAAGCATACTTTGGAATTATTTCCATATATTGTCTTTAATAGCCAAAACAAAGTCTAAAAAGAAAACAAGCAGTTGCAGTGTGAGAAGTGTTTTTCACTTGTTTCTTCAGCTGGTTCAAGCTTTAGAAGTTGAGTGAAATGTTTATGTCTTTCAGAAATTGGAGCCTCATTCTCTTAGTAATGATGCATTAATGAGGAGGGCTGTGTCTTTGGTAACAGATAGCACCTCCACCTTTCTTTCTCAGACCACATATGCATTGATTGAAGCAATCACTGAATATACTAAGGTAAGTGTCTTCTTGTTAAGTCTTGATCTTCTAAACCAGGGGTTAGCAAACTGGCTTGTAAACCAAATCTACTGTGATGCCTGTTTTTGGAGTTTTAATGGAGTGTAGCCCAGGCTCATTTGTCTATATGTTGTCTAAGACTGCTTTTGTGAGTTGAATAGTTGTAACAGAGACTATAGGGCCCATAAAGCCTAAAATATTTACTCTGGACCTTTACAAAAGTTGGCTGAGCCCTTGACCTAAATCAGTGATTTTTAGACTTTCTCCAGGAACCCTTTCTAAAAGAAAAAATCTTTAAATACCCCAGCCCAGTAAAAAAGACAAGAAAACCAAGCTGATTGAGTTCACTTACGGGTAAAGGGGTCTAGAGTCTACCACTCATAGCACCAGGGATTTCGCTGTGGGGACAGTTTGAAAACCACTTATCTGAGGTAGTAGAGAGGTATCTGGATAATCCAAATCATTTATAGGTTTATTGTACCTTCATTCTTCAGCAGCTTTTTCCCTCCGCCTTCTGAGTTTTCCCTCTACATTGTATTCTCTATGTCTGAATTGCTAACAAGCTTTTATAAACACAGAATTTGACAAATGGAAATACTTATGTCCTGGAATAATGCCTCTACCTCCTACAGTCATGCAGTTTCAGTGAGGTGGAAGGACTGAATAGTTTGCTGTAACGGGACTCTATTTCCTTGGGGTATAAATCTCACAAATCCTAATATGCCTCACTTATTTTACTCATTTATTCTATATTTGTAGGCCGTTTATACCTTAATTTCTTTGTACCGACAATATACAAGTTTACTTGGGAAAATGAATTCACAGGAGGAAGATGAAGTGTGGCAGGTGATCATAGGAGCCAGAGTTGAGGTAAGCAAAATGTTAATAGACATTTCTGTATTAGTGCCCCTACCTCGTTGTGGTGTCTTATAGTAACTGTTCTCTAAATCTGTTTTGAATAAACCCATGTTAATGTGCTTCTTAACCTCTTCATGTTGTCTCAAGTGCTGTGTTTAATTTACAGATGACTTCAAAACAACAAGAATACTTGAAGTTGGAAACCACTTGGCTGACTGCACTTGGTCTTTCAGAGATGGCGGCAGAAGCTGCATACCAAACTGGTAGGTTCAAGTTGTCACTCCCTAGGTGCCATCTGAGTTTTCATCTGGCTGTAAAATGAGGGATTTACATTAGTCTAGGGCCCATGTGGCTCTAACTTTGTGAGAAAATGTCCCCATTTCCACTAGCTAGGGAGTCCATAGTCTAGAAAACGACACAGCTATTGCCAATTAGAATAATTGCATCTAAATCATTTTTAAGCATTTTATTCTTTTTATAACCCCATATTTATGGATAACTGGTCATACAGTGGCAGAGTTGGAGGAGACTGAAGACCACTAATCTGTATGATAGAGAAACAGAGACCTGGAATCCTAGTCAGTGGCAAATCCAGGACAAATAATAGCTACCATTTATTGAGTACTGGTCTGTTTCACGCTTGCAGTAAGTATTTTATGGGATTTTTAATTTAAGGAACTGTGAGGATTAGTATCCCCATGTTACAAATGAAGAAAATGGGGACCGAAGGGTTAAGAAACGCACTGAGATACTGGGTACGGTAAGATTCAGCGCAGTGCTAAGCCTCTGCACCTTTGTATCCCAGTATAGAAAATGCAGTTAGTCATTCACCAGGATGTTTTCTGAACCTCTCAGTCCACCCAGTGGGCTTGAGCTGAAGGTTTTTAACTAAATATATTTTGAAGAAAACTAGTTTATTCTTACCTGAATTGGTCTCAAACTGGGTAGCTCATAGAAATTTTTGTTTTCTGACTCTAAGATAACAAACTAGGGGCTCTAGTACCAAATCTTAAAAAGGATATAGTTAATATATATTTTTAGAAGTTAAAAAAAAAAAATCTTAACTAAAGGAATCTGAGGTCCTAGAAGCACAAGTGGAATGAAGAGTGAAACGTTAGAAACGTGAAAGCATTATAGCAGTGCCACACCAGAGGTGGGAGCAGGGTTTCTAGGTACAGTGAACAGGAAGGTTTGCTGAGGCATTCCAGTGTGAACATTCCCAGGCAGCCTTAGATTGAGCTGGAGAAAAGGGAAAGTAAAGTGTAAGCATTATCTGGGAAAAAAGACATTTTTACAAAACTGATTAAAAGGGCTCAATATAAAATATACAATTTTTATATACTTCCTTTGTAGGTAAAAATATAGGTAATTTTTATATACTTCCTTTATGTACTTCCTTTGTAATACTTAAACTATAAGAAGATTTACCTACAAAGGAAGTATAATCAGATATGGCTTCTGATCAACAACCCTAGATGCAAGGTGACAAATCAATAACCTAGAATTTTATATCCACCCAAATATCATTTTAGACATAAAAATACTCGGTTTACCAACCACATATGCTTTCTGAAGAAACTACTTTGTGAAGAAAAAAATTAGAAAGGAACAACAGATGTAAGAATGAACAAAATTCAGTAAAAGTTAAATTTTTTAAATCCGTTTGGGGAAGAAGTGAAAGCATGCCAGTAGTTGGATAGACATCAGCTCAACATTAGACCTTGCTAAACAAAACTTGATAAATGAATTTAAGACAGGGAAGTTTTAAATTTTTTTTTTTAAGATTTTATTTATTTCAGAGAGAGAGCAGGAACGCAAGCAGGGGGAGAGGGAGAAGCAGGCTTCGCACAGAGCAGGGAGCCCGATGCAGGGCTCGATCCCAGGACCCTGGGATCATGACCTGAGCTGAAGGCAGACGCCCAACAACTGAGCCACCCAGGTGCCCTGACAGGGAAGTTTTAAAAGAAAAAGAGGAACAAGTTCCAACATGAGTCATCACAATAACTATGAATATGTTCAAAAAAAAAAATAACCACAGCTAGGGGCGCCTCGGTGGCTCAGTTGGTTAAGCATCTGCCTTCAGCTCAGGTCATGATCCCAGCATCCTGGGATCAAGCCCCACATCGGGCTTCCTGCTCAGTGGAGAGCCTGCTTCTTCTCCCTCTGCTGCTCCGCCAGCTTGTGCTCTTTCTCTGGCAAATAAATAAAATCTTTAAAAAAAAAAAAAGTTATAAAAAGCTAAACCAAACCATTATTAAAAGAAAGCTACCCCAAAAAGCTGGCAGAACAATGTCAGAATAAGGATTCGAGACTAAAAGAACATTAAGACAATTGAGAAGATATTCAGAGTAATGGTCATAAAGATACTGGACTTGAGAAAAAAGTGGCTGAACTCAGAATTTCAACAAAGAGAAAATACAAAAAAAAAGGTTGCCTGTGTGGCACAGGTTAAGCGTCCCACCCTTGGTTTCAGCTCAGGTGGTGATCTCAGGGTCGTGAGATCGAGCCCCACACTCAGCACAGAGTCTGCTTGAGATTCTCTCCCCCTCCCGCCCCTCCTGCTCTTGCTTTCTCTAAAACAAAGAACAACAACAACAAAAAAACCACCAGAGGTGAAGAATTCAACTGAAATAAAAAAAATGCACTAGAATGAATCAACAGCAGATTAGAAGATGCAGAAGAATGGTTCGGCAACCTGGAAGACAGCATGATGGAAAACAAGCTGAAGGGCAAAAATAAAAAATGAAAACAGGTTAAGGATACTCGGTGACATCAAGTATAACAACATTTGCATTATAGGGATCCCAGAAGAGCTAGAAGGGGGCAGAAAACTTTCCTAATCTGAGAAAGGAAACAGACATCCAGGTCCAGGAAGCAGATAGCTCTTAACAGGATGAGATCCACACCAAGACACAATTAATATTACAAAAAGTAATGATAAACCGAATCTTAGAAACAGCAGTTACATGCAAGAGATTCCCCGTAAGGGGTATTTGATAGCTGGTTTTTCAGCACAAACTTTGTAGGCCAAAAGGAAGTGGCATAATATGTTCAAAGTGCTAAAAGGAAAAAACCTACAACCAAGAATACCCAGCAAGGTTACCATTCAAAATATAAGGAGAGGTAGTTTCCCAAACAAAAGTTAAAGGAGTTCATCACCACTCAGGAAATGTTAAAATTCTGAAAGGAAAAAATTTCACAAGTAAAAGCAAATGTATTTGGTAAAAATATTATTCACTTAGAAAGCCAGTATGGTGGTTAAGCCACAAAAGTAGTAAAAATCTATTATATCTACAAAAATTAGTCAAGGGATACACAAAGAGATGTGAAATATGACATACATAAAACATGGGGAGTAAAAATGTGCTTTTAGAATGTGTTCAAACTTAAGCAACGAACTTAATATAGACTACTATGCACGTAAGATGTTATATATGAACCTAGTAGTAACCACAAATCAAAAATCTATAATAGATACACAAAAAATAAACATTAAAGAAAGCCATCAAACTTGGAAGGGAAAAGAACAAAAGATGAAAGGAACAGAGAACTATAGAAACAGCCAGAAAACAAGTAACAAAATGGCAGTAAGTACATACTTATCAGTAATTCCTTTAAATGTAAATGGGCTAAGTGTTCCAATCAAAAGACATAGGGTGACTGAATGGATAAGAAAAACACCACCCATCTATAAGCTGCCTGCAGGAGACTCACTTCAGACTTAAAGACACATAGAGACTGAAAGTGAAGGGATGGAAAAAAAAAAAAA